AAGGAAAAGATTCATTTATTCTTTGAACAAATGGCTCTTGAGCCTCCATTACGAGTCAGGCTCAGACAAAGAGAGAAAAATAAGGTGTTCCCCGCGCTGGGAAACTCAGGGCCTCCGAGGGGAGATGGATTGTGTGTTGGTTGAAGTCAGAGCCCTGAGGGAGATGGATGACAGCTTGATGGGGGGGGGGTTGGGAGGAAGACCTCATGGAGGAGGTGGCATTTGAGCAGGAGTCTTCAGGCAAAGACTGGGGGAAGAGCCTCAGAGCAGAGGTTCAGGGGCCAAAGTCTGGCATCTGGGGGAACCGCAGCCATGGGTGGGAGCATGGACAGGACTTGAGGTGACTTTAGCCCAGGGGATCTGTCTAAAATTGAGCTGGTGGACTCTGTAGACAGAACTGTCTGCCTCTCTCTCTGTTTTTTTTTTTAATTTGCCAGGGGGCAAGTACGTTAACTGGGAGGGGGGAGTAAGTACGCTAACTGGAGGGGGAGAGAAAGAGGGAGAAACTCCTCCCATGGGGGATGGCCACACTGTAATCATTTATTGTCACGATTTGGGACGTGTATGCATATGCACCCAGAGTGTTTTCCTTTCTTTTTAAAGAGGATTTTGCTTTAGGGCATGTGTACTCATTGGAGAGAGATAGAGACAGTGAGAGGGAAAGTGAGAAATCATCCCCAAGGGGATGGCCACGTCTCAGTTCCTTCTCCTCTGTTCTCCTCCTGGGATCTTGAGCATGCACACACATATACCCAGTATGATTTTGAAACCACCAGGTCTGGGACTCGAACCATGGTTGACCATGTGGGAGGCCAGTGATGTAACTGCTATGCCATCTGCAGCCCCTCCCCGCAGTGTGTTTTTCATGCCACTGTGTCCAAGAGTTGAAACACACTCAGTTATGTGAGATCCAGTGCCTTAACCACCATGCCACCAGTTGGCCTGAACTGTCTCGTATTCCAGCCCAAGGAGAGGCTGTGGCATGTGGTAGAAGCTAGACAAATATTGAATGAATAAAGGGTTGATAAGAGCACCTAGTGCAGGGCTGAGGGTCAATCTCTGGTCCCATGACAGTGGGAGCCACCATGAGATTTTGTATAGGGCGTGAGGTAGGGATCTAACCTCATCTTTGGCATGTAGGTGTCCATTTCTCTGAGCACTCTTTGTTGGAAAGACTGTTATTTCCCTATTGAATGATTTTGGCCCCTTTGTTGCAATGACCTGGCCACAACCACAGGGTACTGCAGGGTTTCCAGGTTTTTTTAAAAAAATGTTTTGCCATAGGGTGCATGTGCTTGCTGGAGAAACAGAGAGACAGAAAGCAGGAAATTATATGGCCACACTGCAATCCCTTCTCCTCTCAGGATTTTGGATACACATGCACACATGCCCAGCAATGAGTTTCAAGCAACCAGGTCCTGGACTCAAACTAGGTTCAACCACATGGGAGTCCAGTGCCCTAACCACTACACTGCCTGCAGGGTTTTAAGAGGGAGTGACATAACCAGGACTGTGCTGCAGAAAGATCAATTTGGTGCAGAGACTAGGAAGGGCCAGAAGGTGGAGGGCAGGGGGAAGCTCTGCTGGCTGAACTTGAAGGGAATAGAGTGGAGATGTGGAGAGAAAAGCAGTTCCTGGATCAGCACAGGCCCATGGCGGGGAGCCAGGTGCCAGGCTGTATCCTGAGCCCAGGTTAGGATACTGGGTCAGCCCAGAATCTGGCCCACCTGGCCTGCAGTGCGCAGCAGGGAAGGGGGACGGGCAGGCATGGGGAACACAGAGGAGAAGCCTGTGCTCCGTAGGGCCCTCTCCACTCCCCCACCACCACGAAATGGTAAAATAAAACCTGCTGCAGATACAGCCATTTGCAAAGTAGGTTTTCAGGTAAGAGAGGATTGTAAAGGCAAGACGGTGCCAATTACCGCAGCATTATCTCGGATTAGAAAGCTTCTCAGAGGCAGCTCACACCCCCAGGCATGCTGCGCCTGGGAATTTCCAAGGGAGATTTGGGATCCAACATCCAGGCTGCCAGGGTCCAAACCCCATAGCAGGTATGGGTTGCTGGGCAGGTCTGGCCCAAGGACCTTTCTGACCTGCCTCAATTTCCCCAAGGAGATAGACCACTAGGAGGCAGGATCTCCCTCCCCCCCATACCTCAAACACACACACAGAATTTTGAGAAAATGGCTATAAGCAATGTGGAGATGACAGGCCATTCCCAAAGGAAGCGTGTCCTTCTGGGCTTCCCCAGTCCTGGGGGCACCAAGTCCCCAGTGACTCTTTCTACCTCTCCCTGTCACCTCTCATCTGAACTTGGTGACAGTAAGACTGCATGGATTGGAGCCAGCCCAGGACGGTCCTTAGCCAGACAGCTCCTCTGTAGGTGGCTTCTGCTTTGGTAAAGTGGGGCAGCCAGCCCCCACCAGGCAGGGCTGCCTTCTGGATTAAGCGAGGCATTCTGGATAGTCAGAGGAATAGGGTAGAATGGAGAGCAGCACAACCTCTAGGCCG